ATTTTTAAGTTGACACCCACCATTGGGTGCCATTGTCCCACGCGACGAACATAGTGGCACCCACCGGTGGGTGCCATTGTCGTCAAAGGGTTATCGAGCAATTTACTTATTTCTTTATTTATTTAGTCATTTATTTATTTATTTGTGCCTACAAACACGCGATAAAAATTAAATTAACATAAATAAAAGATGTATCCCAAACAAGAACTGTGAAAATATTAGCAACAAAACAAGTGACCTGAGCTTGGAATCACTAAACTATTCGTTAACAACTAGGACTGCTCGAAAGGAGACGAACGAACATGCAGGCCAAGCGGGTCGCTACTCGTGAACTAGTAAAGGGGAGATTATAGCACTCAATTTCGTAGAGGTTTTAAACTTAACTGTTTAAACATCTTAACAGCATAAGGCAGCGCACTAGTCGGCTGTGATGCCCCCTCGCCACAAAGAGGTCATAGGAGTTCACCGAAACTTCAAAACACGGGCACACCGACCACCCTCGTGGAATCAGCAAGCTAGGCAAGCGAAAGAACCCAGATGAATCGACGTGAAAAGTATAAGACAAGCCTTTTCTCGAGCCCTGAGAAAATTCGTTCTGAATTACTTCGAAGCGAAGCATCCTTAACTCCAGCTGCTGCTCAACCGTAAAGAGGATTACTGTACAATGAATCAGGCAGCACCGACAACAATTAGGTAGAGACATCAGCCATTCCTTGTAGTGGATAAAAGTAGCCTGAACATTGACGTCGACGTCGACGACTTTCGACGAGACGTTGAAGAGTTACGATGTTAACAGAACGATCGAGAAATGATCCGCAGTAATCTAGAATCCGATAAAAACCATAACACAACCCGCTAATACGAAACCATGACTCCGTGATGAGCTGGTGACCGTAAGCCACAGCTGGAAAACGTATCGAATATCAAGGGCTATCTGATGCAGAGTCAAATTGAAATACTGAAAACCTATTCAAATTATTATACAACGTCGAATAACTTGAAGTTACCGCTAGCAAGAATCGCAAATTTCCAAAACTTCGAGGATGTCGATTTTCCGCCAAATTCTGCCTGGATTATCTGGGGATAAGTAGATAGAGGCGAGTAAGAGATCCGTGTACGAACCTGATCGGGGCGAAAGTTTTGCCCATATCTCGATATTCTTGTTATAATTTTCGCAGTGCGAAATGCGGCGGCGTAAAACCACAGTTATCCAATCGAAATAAGGCAAAAACTTTCAATTTCGCTGTGAAATGGAGTCTTATCTAGTCCGACTACCCTCATGTTGGACAACTATCTGTTGGACACTTGCTCCATTCTCTGGCGCGCACTATGCGAAAATTTGGTCATATTCGTATTGCACTGCACAAGTGACACGTAACAAACGTGGGAATTTCTGCGTGAGCGAGCCTGTTTGCCGGACGGTTTTGTTCCCGTCACATAGTGGCACGCCGGCACCCAGGGCAGGCTTTTGCATAGACTTATGCTAATGGCGCTGAAAACCATGTTCTTGTGTCTTAACTTTCTAAACTAAACTATGAGGTAGGGGGACGTTTGTAGGATAGCGGACCACTACTTAGCCTCTCAGCATAAGGAAACATTGGAACTTGCGAGTTTGTGGTAATAATGCTGTTGTGGACTTTCGGGTGTTCCGACGGGTATCCTTACAGCGTCTGCCAGCAGATGCTAGCCATACTTCTCACCAGGAAATGCTTTGAACTTCCCATGGAACTTTGGAAGGAGACCTAGATGATCGATAGAGTCTTGAACGCTGATTACAAATATGGACATTAAAACTGCTACGTGAACTTTATAAGAAAGTTACGAGCATTCAAAGTTGGCAAAAAACGTTACTGAGGTAGGCTTACCTGATGGAATCACGCTCGCCGTGGCTCTGCGCTAAAAACGAGTATCAAATTCGTAATCAGGGCACCCACTAACCCTTATAGAACAAGAAACCAGACAAAAAGCATCCGTGATTTCATCAGGTGAGCTCGCCTCAGTAACGTTTTTTGCCAACTTTGAATGCTCGTAATTTCTTTATGAAGTTCACGTAGCAGTTTTAATCGTAATTGAGTCAGCGGCCGAAACATCTATCGCAATAGGTTCTAATTTGCAAAGTTCCATGGGAAGTCAAAAACATTTCCTTCATTTACCAGAAATCAGCTATTACTACTAACAACTTCTAACCAGATCTAGATAGAAACGATTGATAACAAAAAAAACTTGACCCCAAACCTCCAACTGAGTGTTGCATCCAGGACTACATAGACCAGAACGACTTCATTTGCGTAGACCGCAAAGGATGGATCAGACGCGTTGCTCGAAGAATTACGGACACATCACGATTTTGCGAAAAACATGACTGTTGAGGAAAATGCCCAGCTCTTTTGCGCCTACGACAACCCTGTCGCCGTCTTCGTCACCGACGCACCTCCGCATGATGCATCGTCAATAGTTGTGAAAGCATGGGAAACCATCACCGCGACATACTGCGAGTACCCAAAGAACATAACGGAATCGGATGAATCTCCACTATCAGTATCGATATACACACAATGCTCAAAAGGAGGACTGACATTCACGAGCAATACATCGTTATAAGTAGTGGAAGTATGCATCTCAAAGTACTGTACCTTCCTGAAAGAAGTCACATCGCAAAAGGTTATTCTTCCAAACTCAATCATCATGTACAACTACGAAGCTTGACTAAAAGCCTGGCATTACAATCGCGAAGTACATGGAACTAAAATAAGATGTGAAGCTCATCCTATCTGCGAAACCTTAGATTGTCCACTGTGTTGGGAATGGATATATAATACACAGTGCTGGACTTATCGCCAGACGACGTACATCATTTTATTCTTCGCAGTTGTCATACTGGCTGTTCCAATTTTATGCCGACTTATGAAGCTGGTGGCCAAATCTTCTCGTCTCCTACTACGCTCTCTCTGCTATTTCATCAAGCGCCCGTGGAGATCGCACAAAGATGGAGAACTCAGAAGATACACAAATCAACGACGACGACAAAGCGCTCGAAAGAAGCTCATCTACTTGACCGTGATACTTCCTCAAATCGAATTCAGCAATCAATGTTCTGAATTCACATCGATAGCGGCTAAAGAAATCATCTGCATCATGGCCAAGGATACGAAAAACTGTGCATTTAACAAAGCCACAGTGATGACGCTGCAACCACTACAACAAGAAGCATGTTTAGAGCTCCAAGATTACCACAATGAACATCTCGGTACCATCTCTATCACTCTACTTACAATATCAGTGTCATAAACATATCTAATTCCTCTCGAGAGACCACGAAATCAAATCGGAATCAGTTCATCGCTGCTACATGGCCGGGAACTGCTAACGAAACACATGCGACAACATGAATAAGACGAAAAAATTGGAAGAATTCTCGACCACAGCGAAAAGTAACCCAGGATTTACATACTGCACTCCAACATGTGGCTGTCTGTCATGTGTAGGGTGTCTACACTGTCGACAGCAACGGCACTTGTCTCGCTGACTCAAGAAAAAAAGTACAACTTCAACGCGACTATCACTCACCCCTGGATACACACACTTATGGAACCATCTGCGGCTCACTCTTATCGGAACCACCACACCTCAGCTACCAGTCCTGAGCTCGACCTTCATGGAGAACGAAAACAATACCGGAATCATAAAACCAGTACACAAGGGACAACTTATACCGAATACCGCTGGACAACTGCAATGCGCAACATTACAGGATGCCAAAGACTTTCGTTGTGTTTTCGCGGGTGAAACATGCAAGTGTGCAAACGGATTCCACAAAACATCATGCAATTGCCCTGATGGAAGTTTGAAGAGACTGATGAAGCCTTCTCCCTTACCTCAAACAGGCAAAGAACTTCCTCATCACTCACGAAAATGGACATTTTTGCAAAACTCAATGTCGGCTCTGTCCTTCAACTCCACACCGTGATGGATAATTTGAAACTTGTTGCACAACAGCATAAAAGCTCCTGTACGTTTCAAACGGGCGACCTGACTGGCTGTTACAGTTGCGCCACAGGAGCACTACTCGACCTCGCCTGTACAAGCGATGAAGGAGAAACCACCGCTTTCATCAACTGTCAAGATCAAACTCAGATGGCGAAATGCACCCCAACCACCCACGTCAACGCACTCGTATTTCACTTCTCTACGAATCACGTCCTCGTCTCTTGCTCTGCGTCTTGCCCGGGAGGCTCTGCCAACATCACGATCAGAGGAACACTAGCCTACGTGAAAGATGATTTCCTCAACAATGGACTCAGTGTTGGCAGCGAAAGAAGAACTTCTCTACAAACATGTCATTTTTTGCAGATTTGATGACGAATGTTTCAAATTTCGTGTCAAATATTACTTCCTCCCTTCAGTCCTTTTTTCTCAATTTCTTAACCTTGAAGAATGTATTCCTATTGATTTCAATCTTGTTTCTTCTAACTCTTGCGTCACGCTCCTGCCAAATTATGTTTACAGCTATGACCTTGAAAAAGAATTACTAGTCTTCTCGCTTGTGGGAGTTTCTGTGTTACCACAGAATTTTTAGCATTCTTAGAAGGAAAACGTCTCTTAATCATTCGCAATATCTGGGAGCAAACGCTTAATCACTCGCAATATCTAGGAAACTCTCAGTCACCAGTCTCAACAAAATTCAAACGTTCTCTGAGTCCTCTAGAGAAAGGGTGATAATTGAAGAGTCTTCTTGGTTCCTGGACGCTAGGATGCTGTATATAAACAGCACTAAAATTGCTATGGTTAGAGTCGAATAAAGCTCTCATGGTACGTCTTCCTCAAGGAACCGGCAACAAGTAGTTCACTCGCCGACACAAACAAGGGGGGCATGCGATTGAGAGCGCTCAACAAGCTTAAAACCACGGATAGCATATCCCCTAGTGTAAAGGTTTAGGACTAAGCCTCAGAAGGGAGGGAATACCCCGGGTTCGTGAGCAATCCTCGCTTTCTTGGGGGAAAGATTTCCTCAAAAATTAGAAGAAACAACGTAGGAAAAAAGCTGATAGCACTCGTAACTTTAAAGGACTCCTTGAGCCAAACTGGCATTAGAGCAGACTGTGCACCGCAATGCCCCCCTAACTGGAATAGAACCCGGAAGTATACATATTATGGGTGACTTTGCCGCGTTTGTCATATGTATGGATTAGGAGTGGAACCATATTCTGAGAAGGGTGTAAAGGAACTGCAAAGGCGTTCGCATGATACGAATATTCGTTACGCTTACTGTTTGGCTCGCTTACTCTGCTTTCTTTGCTTTGAATGAGCACTACAGCAAAATTTTCATATTCAAAACCTGGTCACTTTTGTGGGGTCTCAAGCACGAAAGAAGAACAAATTGGTGACGAAGGAAAGGCGTAGACACAAACTAGAAGAATTTTCATCGATGGCCACGCTCCCTTCGACTTCATGCTTTTTATGGATGAGTGGTGCCTCCGTGGCTCCATGGTAGCGACTTTTTGTCTCTTTGGACGTCTTGAACATTTGGCCTCGCGTGCATGATAGACCTTGAAAGGTGGGTCCAAGTTCTCACGCAATGAATCGGGCTGTTCACTAAGTTTGGCCATTTTTTGGAACTCACTTCTAGACTCATTTCCGGATCACTTTTATGAAACTACTACCACTTTTTACATCAGCAGGCAGCGTTCTCGCTCTATCTAACTCTAGTGTTACTTTAAACCTGAGGTACATTTCTCCTGTTTTTTTTTGAATTCTTACATACAACATTCTCAACAGGTTGTTATGTACTAGTTTCCTTTCCCTTTCAAATTTGGTCGGAAAAGTGCTGGAGCAAGTAAGGATATCAACTGAGCATTTGGTCCCAAATCCACAAAAATTCGCTGTGCAGTCGTGATTCAAAATGTCTTTCTCGCGATGATAAAAGCTTCGAAGAAGATTAGGGTGAAGGTCGGATATCGGAGACTGACAAAGATTAACTGAGGGTTTTGATCAAACCAAATCTGCATGGAAACTGTTGAACAGGCCGCTTTCCAATTAGGCGTAACTGAGACGGGTCCAAAGAACATTCAAAGAAGTCGACAAGTGGGTGCCGCCGACTCTTCTCCCCCAGTTGCGCAGCCCATCTCGCACTTCCAGCCGTGCACAAGTTGAACTAGCTGAGCTACAAAACTGTGCTGCGAACATCTTGCACAGTAGACCTCTTGCCTACCAACTGCCACTTTTTAGCCACCTGGCTAGCCTTTTACAAAGAGACCAAACGTTTGACCCCAACATGGGGGTGGAACAACCTCCACCGAGTTCTTCACCCACAAAACCCCTCCCATCATCCGAATCTATTAACCACTCTTCCTCAGAGCAAAGGTATGGAGATTGCGACTGTTTTCATTCTGATTTAAAATATTTGGTTGAACTAAGATATGAGCTTCTTAAATTCCGGCTCAAAATCAGCGGAAACATTCCGGACAAGCCAATGATTGAGGTGTGGAAAAAAGCACATATTCAAGCCTCAGCTCAAAAAGCGTCATGATTTGACTTCTGCCATGAAATCATAGCATCTTTGAATGGTCTAGGACCTATGCAGGCTCAGGAATCTTGCCAAAGTCAATGCTTCATCGTCCCGCACAACTTTGGTACCGAATAACCAGTGAGGCAGAGTAGGGCTTGGATAGATTTCGATCTAGGAATTGGTCGCTGAAAAGTGCTTGCTTCCGACTCTTGCGCAACGACCGTAAATTTTCCTTCGAGAGTTCAGAAGCATATCAGACGTAGTGCGATTCGCTTAACTATAGAAAATCTTGCGCAGAAAATCTCCTACCGTTTCGTAGTCATGCGGCTTGTAAAAAGCAATCATTCGATTCAAAGCGATAAGAACATGACCGCAGCTAATCAGCGAGCTTGAAATAATTATGTTTGCGTAGGCAATCACAGCATAACTGTGCATTTCATTCAAAGGAAGGTCGAAATAGTTGAAATTTGCTGGCTTTTGAATAAGTTCAATGGATATGAACGCATAAAAATCGGCAATAGCTTGTAGCATAAAAAGGGAATAATAGGATGATCTGAACTGTCGTTTGTCTGAGTAGTTTTGACGTCTCCATATTAGTAGTTTGATGATCAAATACAAATACATACAAATCGATAACCAGCCATAAATAGACAACAAAATTTGACCCGTAGGAGGATTGGCCATATTTCTGAATATTATATGGATGTGGATTATAATAGTAACTTTTTTCATTGTAACAAGTATAAGTGCTCAATAATGTCACTTAGAGGACTAAAATAAATATAATTGCTTGACGTAAAAAACAACTGGATGTCCGCCATCACTAAAGGACTACATTTTACTGCGAATGGTATAGAAATAAAATGGTATCTACTTTTGTGTACTTGTGCCCAGGGAGAGGGCACGTGGTTAGTCGAAGGTACAAGTCGCTGTGGAAGATCAGCAGAGGAGCTGGAACTTACGATTGTTTCGTGATGTTTCGTGTCATTGTGATGCCCTCTCCACTACAGTGCGTACCAAAAGTATGTGGACACCCTAAAATTTTCCTTCTCTGAGAAACTGTTGACTTCTGCACCATGAGATCGCCACCATTCGATTTCTCGGATACGGAAACCTTAGATTTTCTCATTTCTCACCGTTTTACATGCAGCTTTAAATTTTTTAATTAATGGAAAAACTTTCCCTGCTTTCCCTGTATCAAAAGTATGTGGACACTTTTCGAAAAACAGAAATATCTTTAGAATCAAAACTGGTAGGCCTACCAAAGATTCTGATAAGTTCAAACATTTTGTTCGGCATGTTCTGAACCAGGCTCCCGATACCTGTTTCGTCGAACTCTTCCCAAGCAGCTAATTTCAGCAACTTGTTAGGTCACTTGGGGTACTACTTTTTCTTTAATGGCGCAGAAGCAGTGAACCACTATCCCCCTACGTTTTCAATAACGATGTGGTCTGAGGAATACGCCAGCCAATCCAGCACCCGAAACCCTCGCGTTTCCAAATGGAATACGTGTAGGGGACCCCCTTGGGCTTGCTGCAAAACAAGTGTTTTGTGACGCTGGCTTCTCGAAAAAGGTATAAGTCGGGATCCAAGCACCTCATTATAATCCTAATTGTCTACCTGACATGCTGGCAAGCCAACTCCAATTTTCCGCTTCTTTTGAAACCACCCCAGACAATTGATGAGCCTCCTCCGAAATGTCTCTTTGAGTACAGCTGCGGGTCACGACGAAGGTCCCTCCATTAGCAACGAGATCCACCCGAATAGCCACCGAAGATAAGAAGTTTTTCTCACCAGTTGAGGCTGTTTAAGGGAGGAATTTTCCACAAAGCGCCTGTTACTCTTATCTTATAATTTTCGCAAAAGCGCTATGTTCGGGTTCAACGTCCCATGTTTGTGATCTTGTTCTGAACGGGCGATTCACGAACTTGCCATCAGTGTTATCTGTGCTGCGCATCCACACACGAAGCATTCTTCATCTTCTCTCGTCTCGTGTGCTCACTCGATTGAATGGAACACCGAGCAATCTTCTTAACAGGAGGGAAGTCATTAGAGCGCGAGCGTGGATAGCTGACCAAAGAAATTTTGGTATGAATATAGGGTATTGTGTTTGTTGAAAGAAGACGATTGAGGAAACGGATCCCTCAATCAATGTTGAGGAGAGGATAAGTCATAAAGATGGAGCCTTTGCACTAATCGAGACGCAGCGGAATGACGGAACAGGACCTGCATCGTGCAACAACATCACAAAAGACGAGCCCCAAAATCTGCTACTTGATGCCTTCGATTAGAAAGAATGAGCCTGTTTTGCGAAAAGGAGAAGGGCCGAGATAAAAAGTAACGAAAAGAACAAGGTAGAAACATAAGATCTAATAGTAGGTGCCAGGAAAGGTTGATGCTGCATCAGGATTCACATGACTTTTATTACAAAGAAAAAAAATTCCATCAAAAACAATTTGCGAAACTAGAACGAAATCTTGTGCCCTTTTTTCGTCACTGTAGGTTATCGACCACTAGGAGTTGAATGGTGAAGGTTTCATAACAGAAAAGTCTTTAGCTGACCCCTGAGAATCGTTTTAGGGTGTCCACATACTTTTGGTACGCACTGTGTATATTGGTTATGGAGCATGGGCGTGAACGGACAACAGAGGAGAAAATAACAACGAGATTGGAGCTCCATGATGGCGTCCTCGATATTGGAACAGACCATCGAATGCAACAATGCGAAGAAGGAGGAGCTCCAAGATGTCGTCGCTGTGGGTAGTCCACGTTGGTCTACGCGATTAGAACAGATGCGATGAGATAGCGACTGAATTATAATAGTAGAAACGATGTAGAAACCGACCACATT